CCTACTATTAGCCCGACAAAAACATGCCAAGGCCACTGCATGCCCAGCCACTGCGCGTCCAAACAGCTTCTGTTTGGCCGGATGAAAGGGGCTAAATGACCACTGCACGGGCTAGGGAAAAGATGGACTTCTTCTTTCGCACCGTACGTAGGCAAACGTGCTAATCAGCGATGTCGAGCGTGCAGTGGTGTAACGTTGTGTGTGTTGGTGAATGAGTGGGCGAGTGAGTGGATGAGTGAGTGGCGCGGGCTCGAGAAGAGGTGGGCTAATGCGGTATAGAAGGATGTGGAGCTAATAGGACATGCCGATGACTCTCACCAACGGTGTAAAAAGACCGGTCTCTGTGGAGGAGGTTCGTAAAGGGAACTCATGGGCAGTTGGAGGCAGTTGCCCTCCAAACAACAACAACGGAGGGCAAAACGCCAGGCAGCTTTCGAGGCAGCAAGTTGCCACAGTAGGGTGTACAGCTGGTGCATCTCTGCCAGTCATCTCCTTAAGTCAACCCATGGCACCAGGGTCTTGTCCCGTGACCTCCTGCCAAGCGGGCGTTCGACACTTCACGTGGCCTTGCAGTGCACCTAGATTGGCACAAGCGCCGTGGTGACGGTGTCGCCATTCAGTGGAGAATAGTGGTGCTGGTCAGGCTGCCTTGGCGAAGGAGTGAAAACAAGGACCAGTTGCTGCTGCCTTGACACTTCCCCATCATTGATTAAAATAAAATAAAAAGTGTTAAGTTTCGTTTAAATTTTAAATAAAAAGTGCGAAGTTTAAAGAGCCACCAGCCGCCACTGGTTTTGATCTGTCGACCACAACCGCGATTCACCACCACGTCCCTCCGCACACGAATTCCAACTTTCCCAACAGTAGCCGCAAGAGACTGCGGTACACCGTAACACGTCAGATAAGTGGACATCTCGAGACCGTTAGAGATACACGATGCACGAATACTGAGCGGTGCATTCGGTCGGAGCGGACGTTGACGGTCAGATACGCGACGTTGCGTAATGAACAACGTTATAAACTGTGGATGAAGGCTGACGCTGTCTCTCTTGTGAAAGTAAACCATGTCCTCCGGGCTGAACTACACGCGGGATGACTTTGCAAAAAAACAAATGCCACCTGACGTGATTGTGGCGACGCCCTTACTCGTGAGATAGCATTGCCACGAGGTAATCCGTAGAACATTCGCGATTGAAATGTAACGCGAATGCACTTGGCAACGTGCAGCCAAAACGTCCTCGTATAAAAAGAATTGTCCTAAATGTATCGGCGTTCTTTGGCGCTCAGTGAAAGTTAAACAAAAGCACAGTGTATGTGTAGAGTAGGAGTTAGTGACGTCATGTCACGCTCACCCTCTGGTACGATGGTGTCATGGATGGGGACGTCATGGACAGGGGGCGGGACGGTGACGTCATGTCCCCCCTGGGGGATTTAAGCTGGAACCCGTCACGGGTTCAGGGTCGTCTGGAGGGTCTGGGAACGTGAAGGGTGAAAGTCGGGACCCAGGGTAGGGGGAAATTGGCACCAGGCTAGCGTAGCCTGCGGGTGTGCTAGGGAATCCCCAGTACCCTTCCCGTGGGGTGTGGAGTGTAGACAGCGAGGGGGCAGTACACAGAGTCGTGTGCGGAGAGGTCTTTAATAAAACAACTGGCGTAAGCCCCTAAATAAACGTGGCGTGAGCCCCTACACGAAGATCTGCCTCGGAGTCATCATTTACACCGCAACATATGTAATGTTCCATTCATCTGCAAATACAATTTACAATAATATACATACGATTTACATCTCAAGACTGTGTACAGAATCACTGGGCTCATTTGTAATATATAATACATAGTCGGTATCACAATCTTTATTTATATTAGAGGAATCCGATGAGCTATAGAGCTCTTTTTCACAGATGTCCAGTAACCAAAATAACAAGTAGAACCTTAAATTTTGATTTAAAGCTTTCGTGACTGCAGTAATTCATATTCTTAGTTTTTTCGGTAAAGTCACGTTGAAGAGAAACAACAAAATAATAAATATATATATTTTATTAATAAGTAGAACCTTTTTTCGAATTCGGTAAAAAAGAACCCTCAATATTTCAAGAGCCGCAATGCGCGTGATGAACACGAGGCGATGGTGGTCCTCAATAAATAACGTCTCACGAAGCGGTCTTTAAAGAGCTGCATGCGGCTCCGGAGCCGAAGGTTTGCCGACCCCAGGCATAGACATAAGAAAAAAAGGTCTCGAGTCTGGACTTGCACAGGGACAGGGAGTCCACAGCAGGGATTTCTGGGGGGAAAAGGGTTCCAGACTACAGTACTTAAAAATCAACGTTGTCAATGACAACGGTAAAATGTCATCATTAAATTGTGTTTTGAATTTGAAGGTATCACCTTTCCACAAGCTTCAAACCTGCAATTCCACAGCCCTCTTGCTCTCAATTGAAAGCGTTTCTTTCGTGTTCAAATAAACGTGAAAAGCGCGAACATCCACTGGTGGTCCTGAGTCAGTGATGAAAATTCCAACATTTCCTTAGCAGGGGCCAGTCTATCAATCGCACGCACGATGACTGGGTTTACAAAGTGACACTCATTTATTGACCCTGAGTGAAATTATTAACTGAATACGATTACACCCCGGCATTGAACCCACAACCTTAGCGTTGGTTTTATGAATGGACTCGAAAAGCACCTTGACAAAAGAGATTTACAATCTTAGATAAAAAATCAAGTTCTGGGTCGATGCCCATTTCTTAAAGAGAAACCCCTGAAAATTAAACATTTGTTTAACACGCAGTGGTTTGAAACGCATTACACAACATCTGCCCTTGAGGTGAACTCCACCCCAACCAATCAGAACACCGAGACCCTTGCCCTACATTCCGCTTTTATAACCTACATTCTAGAAAGTTCCACAGTCTCAGCTCAGCCAAGGGAGGGGGGTTATAAAATCGGTACCACTTTGTGTATCGTCGTCATTGAGCTGAGCACTCAGCGATCTGAGGTCGATTCACGTCCAGGGCTAACGTCAATGGTGCATAGTTTCATAGTTTCATTTATTTTGGTATAGCCCTGTGAGCCATTCGGCTCTTGAATCGGGTGCAACCGCAACAAACAAAAAAACAAAAACATGAACAAGAAAACATCTTAAAGTGACTTTGTGCATGTGGAAACAGAAAATCCAGAAAAAAAACATCAAAATATTCCTGAAATAGCACCGTACACCAACGCTGTGTGCAAAAATCCCAGAAAACAACAAGAAAACTTAGATTAAGGCCATCAGTCTAACTCCGTACTACAATAAACAAAAACATGGCCAAACCAAAAAACTTTTAGAAATCACCAAAATAAAGCCATAAATGTAATGTAACAGTGCTCATAGGAACTGTGACCGAATTTTTAACAATAAACTACATAAATAACATGTAACACCAAACCCTAGAGCCACAGCTGGCTGCATGAGTCACTCCACAAACAACAGGAGCATCAGTCGGAGTATCACATTTTTCAATGCACCTTTAAGATCAGCACACTAAATCAAAATACTGATAATACTTTGCAGCGGTCATCCGGAGCGAAACATTTATTTTATTTTAGGCCACTGAATGGCAGTGGCAGCTAGGGGTGTACAACTCCTCTAGAGCAGTTTTGAGTGAAGACCTCATAACCCATCCTGGGAATCTTCACCAACTCTATTCCCCGTGTAGTACGGTTAAACAACCCCCACGACCGACAGACACAGCGTGGAGGCGTTCATCTAGCAGTGGAAAGACAAAGGCTGTGATTGTATTAAGGAATCGCTGGTCATGCCATAAGAATATGGAATTTCTATGACTGGCCAACGAAGGTGAGCACAAAGTGTAGTCAGCAATGGTTGTTTTATGGAATAACTGGCCCTGTCATAGGAATGTGGAATTTGACACGAATGGCCAATTAAGTGGAGCATTTGTGGAGTCAGAAATGGTTGTGTTGTGGAATAACTGACCCTGCCATAGGAATGTGGAAATTCCACGAATGGCCAATTAAGTGGAGCACATTGTGGGGTCAGAAATGGTTCTGTTGTGGAATAACTGACCCTGCCATATGAATGTGGAATTTCCACGACTGGCCAACAGAGATGAGAATTGCTTGAGACTTTCTCGAGCAGGTTATGTTACAGCCTATTACTTTTTTGACATTGAACTCAACGTTAACAAAGCAATGGCCCTACCCTGGATAACCCCCCCCTGACCCCCCCCCCAATCCTGACCACGTGCCCCGGTCACGCGCGCGGTTGCATCGCGATGAGATCATCCTCCTCAATAGATTCCGATTCCATTCAAAAATGATTGTCCGGAATCGATTCCGGAACAAATTAAATAAGAAAACTTGAAATTGTTGCGGAACACCTAATGTTATTTGTTCCGAGTTCACCCCTCAGCTGCCTTGCTATAACATTAAGATCATAAAAGCAGAATTTAGTGTATACAGCGCGTTCGAACCGTTGTAAATACCTCGATTACAACCACAACAACGACAAGCCTGGCTGAATCGAAATTGAGACGGCACCGCGCAATGGCGGCGCCCGATTGCGTCAAGGCTGCCACGTGGCCTTTAAAGCGCGTGATGGACCAGGGACACGCCACGCGCATGCGCACGGGGGTCACGTGACGTAGTGGCGGTGAATTAAGGGGGGGGGCTCCGCGGGGTGAGGGGAGGGGCGAGGGTGGTTGGTCGGGGAGGGGCGCGGGGGGGGGCGGTTGGGCGGGCAGGGGAGGGGCGCGTGGGGGTTATTGTTGAGAGCATTGGGCGGGAGGAGAGCGTGGGGGGGGGTAGTTGGGAGGGGTCACGTGGGAGTGGGAGGGGCGAGGGTAGTTGGGCGGGAGGAGAGGGTTGCGTGGGGGCGGGGTTGGACGGGAGGGGTGGGCGAGGGTTCGCGGGAGGGGAGGGGCTGGCGTAGGGGAATTTCCCCGTGGCGCGTGACGAGGTGACGTCATCGTCCACCGGCTTCTATATAAAGGAGGGGAACGGGCGGAAACGGTTGCGCAGTCGGAGTGACCCCCCCCTTGTGTGTGTGGTTACCGTAGGGCTGCTGCTGCTGCTTCTGTTGTTTCCCGGCTACTGCTAACATCCCACGTCTTCGGACAACACAGCCCTCGCTCGCTGTACCATGTACTGCTATACAGCCCGTCGTAGATGTTTTATTCGCGATCGCCGGGACACGAGAGAGTACTCGATTCGAGCGGTGAGTTAACGCGCACATGATCGCTGTGTGTAAACTATTATATGTGTAAGTGTACTGTTGCTATGTGCTTCGGGCCCCATGTGTTGTGGCGTTGTATGATGGCTGTTATCGATGCTGGTGTGTGCATTTCAGTTCAAATTCGTTGCTGTCAAGGCCAGTTTTCTTAATGTCTTTGGAATTATTGTTAGTGATTATTTTGTAACATGCGTGGACTTGTATGCATTGATGCATATTGTTGGTTATGGCCATGTTTTGGTGATATTGCTTACTCTTTGGTTCTATTCGGTAAAGTCACGTAGGTAAAAAATAAAACAACAAAAATCACGACGTTTCGGCCACAACACAAGCGGCCTTCCCCGAATACAACCAAAGAGTATGGATCCTTGCAGTCACGAAAGCTTTAAATCTAGATATGATTGCTATCAGTGCGTCCGAAGTTTATGTGTGTACACAGATGATGGTTTGATGGGAGGCAGTTGTATTTTAAATGGGTAACGGGGCAGGGTTTCTTCATTTGGGCTTAAATGAAAGCGGGTTTCTGTATCTGGGTCAAGTTGCATAACCCTCCTTTCATGCGCGTTTCGTGTTTTGCAGCACCTAATTTGGTCTCATTTTACATTTTGGCAGTCCAAACGTCTTTACATTCGGATGCAATGTTTTGTATTTGTTACTTTTGTAAAGATTTTAGTAGTACCGTGATTTATATATGGATAAAGTGTATTTTAATTGGTGTACATACGTTGGTAGAATTTCAGTTATTGAAACGAATGGCGCAGTGTTCATAGATGTTTAAACTGGTAAAGAGACCGCAACCGTTTATGTAATCCTCGTAATAACTAGTTCAAAGATTATATATTTTTATCAACTCTAAAGTTTAGTGATTTCTTGGCAGTTTGTCATGTATTATCTATATCAGGTATGGTCGATATACTTTAATTATCTTGATTTGAAGCTTTCGTGACTGCAGGAATTAATAATGATATTCTTTGGTTATTTCGGTAAAGTCCCGTAGATGGAAAATGAATTAATAGATCACGTCGTTTCGATCGCAACACGAGCAATCGTCCTCGGGTGAAAGAAATACACCTGTCGGAATGCTGAGACAGGAAGAAATGTAGCGAGAGAGCGACTGTTTTCTTCTTATTTGTATATGCAATGTTATTTGTGCATGTAATGTATTGCACGGGAGTATACTTCATTATTTAGTCTCCAAATACTTTCCCTTAATCGGGAGGAATCCGATGAGCTATCAAGCTCTTTCTCCCCTCCCCCCCCCATTGATGTCCAGTTATTGGCACGGGGTCAGAACGTCACAGCAACAAACTAAACACAACAAGCAGTTCTAAATATATACAGGAGATGGATGGATGGATCCACTGCAGGAACCATCGGAGAGATGGAAGATGGCTTTAGGGAGGCCTTCATCAAGCACCTGGTGACGATGATTTCGATTTAAAGCTTTCGTGACTGCAAGGATTCATCTTTGGTTCTTTCGGTAAAGTCACAGCGCTGTCCTCCAGACGTCCCTTCACCTGACGAAGGCAGCTTGTGTTGTGGCCGAAACGTCGTGAGAATATTGTGTTATTTTATCAATTTATTATTTTATTCTCATTTTACGTGACTTTACCGAAAGAACCAAAGAAAATGACGATGATGATTAGGAATTGGGTAGTGTAGAAATTGTACGTGGAGGATAAGTGTGTAATGTATGTGCTGTGTGCATACCTGTGTTCTTGTGGAGGTAATTTGAGTTCTCAAGTCCACACGGCATTACAGCCCTTTAAATATGGGGCAAAAACACTTTTTAGTCTTATTTGTTTTGTGTGTTTCTCCCTTGTAATGGAACGTTGTAGGATGAACGTTGAGATTTATAAGGGGCACGGGGGTGACCAATAAGGTCTCAATTGGTCAGTAACAAGATAAGGGCACTGGTTAAGGGGTTCACAGGTATGGCCAGTAATTGGCGAATATTTGAACCGGGGTCCCCTTAGGCACAGGACCCCGGTTCAAACACTGGTGGGGTCGAGCCAAGATAAATACGTCAGGAATTAGCGGAGAGCGTGAATGGTGGGGGGGGGGCCTTTACGGTTAAGTATTTGTGACGAGCGCCCAGTCACTTTGGGACCGTCCATAAATGACGTCACGCACCTGGGGGGGTGGGGGGTGAGATATGTGACGTCGCATCAAAATGCACAACTTTAAATAAATAAATTTTATGTAAAGCTTTCGTGACTGCAGGGATTCATTATCCTTGGTTCTTGACTTTACCGAAAACCAAGAATACGTTCTATTTAAATAAATTTACTTTTTCAATAAATGTTAATCTCCTACGACAACAGAGTGCAGCGCCACATTAAATACGCAATACAAGGGCAATAGTTTAAAGCGATTTGAAGCATGTTTTTTTTATTTTTTTTGTTGGGGGGGGGGGGCGCGCAGAGCGTTGCGTGACGTTATTTATGGGCGGCCCCTTACGAAATATGAATATTTCGTTACGCCGCTGGCTGTGGTGGGCTATTTAAAGAAAATACCTCCTCCTCCATGGGGGGGGGGATTCTCACGGCGAGCCACAAGCTTCCCCCGGCTGTCCGTGTTGTGCGGGGTAATTTCGCAGAGTCACGCTGCCGTCACTTGGCAATGGGGAAGTCGGGAGAGGCGGAAGGCGCGGGCCAAAGCAGCTGACGCTGGCGACTCGGGTGTTGTACAAACCACGCGGCTTGGCTGCTACAAGTTGAAACCGCCTCGGAGGAGCCATTAAATGTGTTGCAAAACGTGAACACGCACTGCGACCCCACGTTCGAATGCAATGCACAGCGGGTAAAAACACACGCGTTGATTTCCCTAAGAATTGTTGATCCGTTGTCTTGGTAAAGTCGCGTAAATAGAAAACAAAATTTAAAAAAAATATTAAAATAATACAATTTAAATCTTCAAAATAAAATTTAAATAATAAACTTCAAATTATAAAGGCAAAAGATCCATTGTGTTGGTAAAGTCGCGTAAATAGAAAACAAATAAAAAATAATATTAAAATAATAAAATTAAAATCTTAAAAATTTAATTTAAATAATAAATTGAAAATAATAAAAGCAAAAAAAAACCCACGACGTTTCGATCGCTGGCTTCGTTTTTTAAACGCTTGACAATCGCTTGATAGGGTTTTATTGTATCACCTCCCCCACAGATGGCTACACGGGTGAACTTAATTAATAATTAACTCAAACCGTTAATGTAAAACCAGATTTGAAACCGTTTATTAGACCTTTAAGCATTGTAACCCACTGAAATGTGGTGTTGTATTACTGGTCACGGTGGTTGGCGCTCTGCTAATGGTGCCCCGCAACCTTTGATCGATTCCCGGCCACGATTGTGACGTCAGTGGCTACGTGCATCAGGTGCAGGGGAATAACGTCGAGTTTGTCCTTGACCCGCACTTCCGATGAGCACGCTTGGCTACGTACGGTGCGAAAGAAGTTCTGCAAACAGTGCTTTAAATGTTTAAATGGAAAATAGATGAAAGTGCCAGCGCATTAGTGACCATCTGTAACTTTCGCTCGGGGAACCAAGATGGCCTTTCTGTATTTGGGTATTTAAAAACTGAATTTGTGTGCGCGTTTTGTCTCTCCTCCCCCCCTACCACCACCACCAGAAGAGACTGTGGCGCATCAATCAAACGCATATTATTCAATCCCGAACTACCAAGCGCAATGCAGGCTGAGTTCGGCTACGACGCGACACGCAGCCTTTTCGGCGCAAGCATGCCGACCCACGAGTGGTTCCAGGGCACTGGTACATGCGGGAGCTTGTGGGACGAGCCCTGGGCCGACCCGCTGGGGCCCCAGCGACCCGCACACGATCCCAGTGACAAACCTGGGGAGGTCTCCGCCGCCCCAGTTTGGCACTCGAATCAACGGCGTGCGAGTGGGCGAGTCGCATCACTCTACGGCGACTCTGACCACAACTGCAACATGAAGGTGAGTCGAGTAGTAGGTGTAGGGCCCTGCATTTATTATTGGTCTAGTAACTGACGGTACTGCCTTGACCGTTTCATCTCGTCCATGCTGTGTTCAATGACCGTACGGCAGGTCAAAATACTTATTTCTGCCTATTTCCCTGCACAAAATTGCTCAATTGGGAGAAACGTGTGGCCGATACAACTTTAATAGCGTTGTTTGTTGCCAGCCGCTTGGATCTTTGGACCTGTGCTTGGCAACTGATAATATATATATAAAGAACTTGTGACTGTTCACCTCAATGTTATGGAATGTTAGTTTTTTGTAAAGCAAAATAAATATCCCATGGAGGTGTCAAATCACGCACTTTTGTGAAAGGTCCAGGGTATGTAAACCACAAGACTGAGGAATAAGTTGGTCTGTGTCCACTTCACGTTTAGACTGGTATCGTATTCTGACAGTATCTTGGCCATCACTACAAGGAACACCCTCTTTTCTTACACCATCTGTTAAGAGCTTTATGGCTCAACGGATTTCTCTAATATTAATATTCTGATTCTGAAGTGCAGTTAAATTTGCCAGTAATGGGTCTGTTCAGCTGGATGACTTGCCACTGCTAATTTAAATGTGTTTTAACATGGGCAAAGTGTAATGCAAAGTACTGTGCATTATTCATTTCAATTAACAGGCTTGTTAAAATATCTCAATTCACGTACAAATTGCTGTGTATTTTAACACTGCAGTAACTTGCTATTAAAGTGCACAGATTAACAAAATGCTTGTTTCTTTTTTTAGATGGAGGATGGCGATCTGAACAGTAACCGCATCACCGATGACATCTTGGACATTTGTGACGCGTACAACAGTGGGCCTCGTCCGTCTGCAAGTGACGCCATGAACTTTAGATCAGAAAGTTCAGTGCAGGTGGGGACACATTTTTCCGAAGATGGAAGTGCCATGAGGCTTGAGAGTGGCATTGATATGTTGCCGTTAACCAACGAGGTGTCTTCATTTTGGGATGTTCTGTATGAGGATGAAACCGATTCCAACTATGCGTTGAGTGAGTTTGTCTTTGAGGACATATTTTCCCAGGGTGCGGACATCATCGATGCACAACCTACGAGGCCAATATATTCGGAGAGCCATGGAGGAATGTTAAATGGTGGCGAGCAAGCGACAGAAGGTGTGGAATTGGCAGAAGACGTTGGGGAAGCCGATGGTAGCAATCCGCCGGCGGCGGCGGATGGCAGTGGTGAAACTGCGTTTGCGGGAAACGCCGATTTTTTGTCACACGATGCGATTGTCCCCAACGCCAGTCCATCCCGCCTGGAGCGGGATGAGGTGGTGAAAGCTGGCACGAGTGAGGAAAGTTCTACAGGAGGTCGAGACGAAGGAGGAGGAGGCAGAAAGCGGGTGGTGCGTAGCAGGAAACGACAGAAGGATACGGGAAAGGAAAAGGAGGGACTCTTGACCACACTCGCGGCAAGGAATAAATATCTTAAAGCAGAAGCCGAGCGTCTTACTGAGGAAGTGGCCGCAGCCAAACGTCGACTCATCGCCTCCATTGTTGGCTCCCCTTGAAAGAAGCAAGTGTAATTGTCAGACTGGTCATGATTTCACAACTTACATTGGTTTAGTAAAGTTTTAGGAACGCTAATGGGCATATCAAGAATCCTAAATGCCACATTAATAATTACTCGAACAAGATGTGGGGGAGTTTAAAACAAACATTTGTGACCTACAAGAAAGTTGGAGCACGCATTAGGAAATCAATAACAGCCTCAGTCTGCACTCTCCACTGAGGTACAGATTTGTAGGTTCAGTTCCCACTGAAAATACCGAAAATTGACGTCCGTTTTTTAAGTAGACTTGACCATAGCATGCTTATATTATTAGAACATCGGTTAAGTGTATACTTTATAACCTACTAATAGCTTATAAAGATGATTTTTAATTATCACCTCGTTTACAAGCAAGACCTTTGTAACCCAGTTATGTTGAGTGGTAGGTATTGTTGGTGATTTCTAATGTTAGTTTTCAAATGTATGCTCCGTACTGTAGAAGGTAGGCACACGCCAATTTTCATGTTGAAATACAAATACTGCATTTGAATGTCACAACTTAAAAAAAAACTACGGTTCCTTTCACTACATTTGACCAAGTCTCACTTTTCAAAGATAGTGAATCTCAACCTATCCCAAAAATATTTGGATAAATATTTACTGTTTATGTTTATATATACGAATCTGTTGTACTGTAATAGTTGTATACTGTAGTTCTATTAGCCTCTCGCATGTTAAATGGCTAAACAATTATATCATTGCCGTTAAGGCTATGGTAATCGGTGTTTTTTTTATGTTGTGTCTTTATTCATGGTGAACATGTATCCTTAATTACACCCAATTAAACAAACTTGGAAGTAAGAAATGAATGTGATTTTTTTATTGTCAAAAACACAAACAAGGCCTTTGTCAGTCCACTTCCGAATGAAGGCCTCCACACCGTATCGGTCAAGGGGCGTAGCGACTACTTTATTCGCTTCCCTAGTGTAGCCATCAAACAAAGACGGTCACCGCATCGCGTGCTTTCAAATGCGCTTCCGCGGCCGTCTGGAACGCTCTTCCCATATAGCCACTGGAGCTATATGCACTTTTAAATCTAGGTTGAAAACTTTGTTGGTCTTCCCCCACACCTCCAATTTAGCACGGTTGGCTACGTTTGGTGCAAAATAAGTTCTGCATACGCACGTGTGGGTTGGTGAAGGAGAGGGGGGTACATGACTGGTGCTGATGCCACTGCTCTTAAATCTGTGGCTGCGGAATCCGGGAATTTAACTCCGTTTTCCATATTCCTAGCGCGGTGCACCACCATCTGCCGTGACGCAGCTCCCACTTGGCACATTTCTGAAATAATTTAACAGCGGCGTTGACCTTGTGTAGAGTTTGGAGGCCCCATGCGGCCTTGCTCATAGCCTAAAAACATCTGTTGGCAATAAAAAGAACGAGCCATTATTTTCGAATTATATTTTAAAAAAACCCTCATTTAACAGCCGCAATGTATGTGAATACAAGATGGTGGTCCTTGAGTCGCAGGTTGCCAACCCTTGGGCTAAAATCGAAAAGCATGACGACGCGCAAAAACGAAGACGCAAAACATCAAATTAGGTGCATTACATCTAAATGATTGTGACTGACAAGTAAATTCGAATTCTGTTATTTCAGGGCTGGAATACAAAAAAATTGCACAACTGTAGTCCAGTCTATTTCTAACTGGAAAAAAATGTTGAAAGATTTTTATGGTTTGAAGGTTGGTGGGTTTCACGCATTGGGCAGAGTTGGCATAGCGTTCTTGCATCGCTACATATGCTTGTGCTCAACAAATCTAATAGTTCCATCGGTGAACCAGATGTGTGGTTTTGGTAAGACTGAAATGTGGTGGTTGACACAAGCCAATACGTGTAAGTGGCAAATTATTTTCCAGTATTGTCAAACGAAAACCTCAATGTGGCAGATCAGATATAAATATAGGCTCATTTGACTGATTTGGTAGCTTTCAATGTTTTTTGCTGTACAATTTTACAGTCCCGCACTTTGGAATCGGATCGGCCACGCGGCCCGTGTCAAAAGACATGTGTGACAAGAGCTTCAGAGCTCATAGGATTCCTCCAGTCCAAATACATGATTCTAAATTTTGCCGTCTCAGAAATGCCACTTGTAAAGCAGACTGCACCGGGTGTGCTCAACCACAAGAGGGCGCTTGGAGACACGCTGCGGCAGCTCGTGCTCGGGACGCATTTCAACCTCAATCTTGAGTATTTATACTGGAGGTATCCGATGAGCTATGAAGCTCTTTTTCACATGTCCAGTAGGGGCACGGGGTAAGAACGTTACAACAACAAACAATGTGAAAACCACGATGGTAGTGCAAAGTACAGGCAAAGGCAAATAAATCGCCCAAACACATACAAATACAACACGAAACCATCCCCATCCTATCAGGCGAAGGCCACTGAGGTATTCACTTATTTTTCTGAAGCAACCTGGCCGCAAATGATAGCTCAACAAAGTCGCTCATCATATGAAAAAAAATAACAGCAAAATAATCTAACCTAAGGCCATTTTGACAGCTTGGGCACAAATGACACGAGCTTGAATATATAACTTCACAGATACAAAAATGCTTTCCAACTAAGATTGAGATCGTTGATGCACGTGCTCTTGTCTGTACCGGGCGGTGGGGGTGCACCAAGTCTATAGATAGTTTAGTAGGAACAGGTCTGTAGTACTGTACTGTGTAAAGTTGTCACTGTGAACAACTTGAACCGATTGAAAAGCAGCCAAATGGATCAAAGGGTTGCCCAAAACTAACTTTCCAAACCGTTGAAAAAAAATATAATTTAAATATGCCCTGATAGCTTAAAAATGCCCTAATAGCTAACCCAGTAAGCATTCATCATTTGGGCCAACGTTGACATGTGGTTGGAACCATTAGACCAACTTTGGACCAACGTTCCTCGTTTACTGGGTAGCTGTCAGCTCCTTATATGGCTAATATAAACTTCCGAGAACATGCACAAGTTGGAAAGCGTTATATAATCCATAAGAGGGGTTTTTTTGGGTTAGATCGCGTAAAGATAAATGTGTCGTTAAACCCGCCACCACCCGACAGCCAATTAGTAAGGTTTGTCACATAAACAAAACATGGCAATTCGTTACTAGTACAGCACACCGGTGCACCGGTGTGTTGGAGAGTAAATCCACAACATTTACAATCCGAGTGTGATGTTTCGCCAGTAATTACAACTAGCATCATCAGGTGACAGCCAGATTTGTGGAGAAATCCTGGATAATATTGGTCGCGAAAGCCTACGTGCTAAACCGGCGTTATATAACTTGTTGAGTTTATATTTGGACTAAAGCCGCAACACAATGTCCAGCTGTTGTGAATTATGTCACAGGATCTTTTGATATGTTCATTGCAAGATTGCCAGGAATCCACAAGGATCGAATCATCGGCTCTAAAATGTAGCTTAACTGTACTGGAGTGATCATACCAACCACGAGGACGAGACTCATTAGCCTTGATCAATACACGGCTGGATGAAAGCTTCCCTCGTACTGCCACCATCCCTAGCACGGCAATGCCATACAAATATCAAATTGTTGGAAATTAGATTTGACTTGTTTTAATATAGCCTTGCTTTGGTTAGAGTGACTTGTAACGTGGTTATTCGGGTTAATGCTGCGAGTGGATTCACTGTCAATATATCCCGTCTGCTTCACAGTGAATGTTAAAGACCCTGTGATGTAATTCGCAAGAGCCGGCGTTGTGTGCCACCGTCACGGTCCGAATTTGAATAATTAAATTACTCAATTGGGATTTTACATAGCAATCATTGGTCCCCCGCTGTGAAAACTGCGACAACTGTTGGCAGAAACCCTCGCGAAGAAGTCCTGAAGGCTCGGGCTTGCAATTGTGAACAAGGATAGTCGTAACAATAAATAGAGTGACTGACCCAAAATCGGAAGGTTCACTATTCAAAGTCCATTCGGGAAGCAACTGAATTCTGTCATCGCTTTTGGGCCACTGAACTTAGTACTGCGTTGTTTGAGGTCACCAGTGTGAAGTCACCTTCGGAATGTGGAATATCCGCCACTGGTTTCTGGCCACCAGCAGAGATGAGAACAAGGATACACTTGACTTTTAATAAGTAGTTGGTCTGTGTCCATACGACTAATTCTCAGCACGCCTGTGTCACTCGGTATTGGAATACAAAACAGTGTCAATCCACTGCTGGATGAGGGTCTACCTACACCGTTCATGTTGTGGTGTTTACTTGATCGAAATTAACGATTATGGTAAAATGTGGTTGTCGAATGTAGGGACCATAGCTGTGGTAGCATAGAAATCCAGTCAAAGAATGGATGATTCCACACTGCTCTCTACTGGCCACCAAGAGGCCCCAGAGGCCTTTTAGAACCTGTTTATGCAAGCTAAACACAATCAGTTCTGCTATAACGCCGCGTGCTTTCGTCACGCGAATTTGGATGTAACGTGATGAAAATGTAGAGTGGAACAGGTACTTTTTATAACGCGGATGCGAATTGGATATAACGCGATTGAGTGAACATAACTACGTCGTGCGAGTTGGAAGTAAGCGGTTGTACTGTTGGCTCGTCACATCATCGCTGCTGGATGCTTCTAGATCAGGGGTGTCCAAAAATTTTTTCCCGAGGGCCACATACAGAAAAATATACGAAGGACTGGGCCACTCACTAGATGTAAGGTATACTGCCTCACTTCTCATGCACTAATATTGGCAAAATCAATCAAATGCAGGTAAATTACGTTTGATCATTGAACATGTTTAAAGAAAAACAGCCTCCATCATAAGCTCTCCATTAGTAGATTTTCATTAAATTTTTTACAAAAAAGTTGGCAGGTCATTTTTTTAGTGACAGCCTCAGATTGGTTCTTAGGGTGCTGATCCCCCTTCATTGTCCTGTATGAAGGGAGAGACAAGAAGAGAAATCGGGGATGTGGATATTTCAAGCTTATTACACAAATAAATTATTGGGCTTGTTAACACATCAACTAACGTTTGCTAAAAAATTGTCATCAACTTTAATTGACTGAATTTATTAAGCAATTGGGCTTATTAACAAATGAAAACTGTGTGTATATTTTTAACTTACCTGTAATGGGAAGAATGTTGCGCTCAGTGGGAGCAGTGATGCTGCGCTTTGGTCTGAAGGATAGCTGACAGGTCAGGAGTAAATTTGGTAGTTGAGATCCGAAGGACGTCACGGAGATCGCTATCGGTCGTTCTGGTTCTCAGTCTGCTTTTGTTCAGCGTTAACAGAGAGAATGTCTGCTGACAGATGTATGTTGAGCCGAACAAACTCATCATTCGTTTTGCGTGGCGTCTCACCAGAGGAAACTTGGCCTTTTCCAAGCTCCGGTAGAAGTCAGGTAGGGAGAGAAGCTAATGCTGATTCTTCAGAGAATCATCACACTGAATTTCGATCAGTTCTAATTGCAGACTCTCCTCCACTTCTTTTGCATCCATTGAAAACGGAGCCGCAAAGAGTGTGATTTCCTTCTCAATGACAGAAAAGTATTGGAAGCGCTGACTGAATTCTGTCATGAGAGATGTGATCACAGACACATTCTCCCATTTTTGCAGAGAGCATGGCATTTGGAAATGCGCATTTGATTTTGGTCAGCGTGGGGAAGTGCGCTACATTGAAGTTGCGCAGTTGTGACTCGAAGAGACGGAGCTTCGCATGGAATGCTTTCATGTGCGCATACAGCTGTGGTACCAGCTGCTCTTTGCCTTGTAGTCTCTTGTTCAGGATGTTGAGATGATCAGTGAGATCAACTAAAAAAGCCAGGTCTGCCAACCATAAAGGGTCACTGATCTCATG